TTACATTTTATTGAAGTAATTTTCCTTAGCTTCTTGTTTGCTTCACGAGTCTGAATGAATTGAGAAGTTTTTGTGTATCAAACACGTTTTTCTCTGGTGTCTATGATTCAGAAATTTTCTAATGCTCATTTTCTGTGATTTGGTAATTTATTTCGCTCAGGTAAACAAGTTTAGGAATGAAAACCTTGCTTTTCTGTTTAAATCAAGGAAACGTGAATATAATAGGAACGAAGAATTTTGAAATTAAAGAAGTAACAGGAAATGTTACGTTAGCTTTTAGTTCGTCTGGTCACCCTTGTAAAGGTTTCAGCTCCTGAAATTATAGATATGAGACATTTTACTTGATTAAAATTCTAGTAATGTTGTTCTATGCCTATCTCAGGGTTTTATTTTTAGCATTATATAATTATTCGTTGTTTTGGGTTTTTCTTTTCCTTTAATTTGTTGCTCAGAAAAGTTGTATGGGAAAAAAATTATCTTGGGATGCCCCAAAAAACTGAACATGAGACTTCTTAATATGAGATTTCACTTTCTTATCCTTGGGATGGGATGAGGAGGTTTCTAGAATAGTGGGATCTATTCTCATTGTATAGCCCTGACATTATGAACCTTCAATAATCATCAGTTTTCTTTTTTTTTTTTTGCTTCTTTTTTCTTTTTTTCTCTTTTGCACTTAAACAAAATATAACTTCAAGTTATATATTTTTTGTCTGGATATTGCTTTCTTGGGTAATTTAACACTAGTGGCTTGCTGTTGCTATAGGTTTTTGAAATTATGAAGAAGCAAGAGGAGACAAGGCAAGCGGAGTTTGCTGCAAAAGCTGCAGAGTTTAAGGCAATGCAATCTCAAGCTGACAGTGTAAGATGCTATCATGAGTACCTTCCTTGTTGGCACCATTTAACAATCAATGACTGGCTTGAGGGCAATGTTCTTCTGGTTTTTGAGTTCCATAAACCTGTTTCCTGATGGTTTGGAGTCTACCATAACCATGTTTATCATGGAATACATGGAACTTTCTGTTTATGCCTTACTTGAGCTTTTTTTTTTTAAGTTTTCTACCATGTTTTCTGGCAGGAGAGGCAACGAGTGATATATGATGAACAGAAGAAGCTAGCTCAGCATCAAGCACAAGTAAAATCACAGATGGCACACTATGAGGATGAATTAGCAAGGAAGAGAATGCAGGCATGTAACTGTTGATGCTTTAGGTTTCATCAGGAAGTCCTTTGTAGTATAAGGATTTAAGAAGTTAATGTTGTTACAGGCAGAAAATGAATATCAAAGAGCTAGGAATCAAGAGCTTGTAAAACTCCAAGAGGAGTCAGCAGTCAGACTGGAGCAAACTCGACGGGCTACGGAAGAACAGATTCAAGCTCAGAAGCGACAAACAGAGAGGGAAAAGGCTGAGATAGAGCGTGAAACAATCAGAGTGCGAGCCATTGCAGAAGCAGAAGGAAGAGCCCATGAAGCAAAGCTTGCTGAGGAGGTTAACAGGAGGATGCTCGTAGATCGTGCAAATGCTGAAAGAGAGAAGTGGGTTGCTGCCATAAATTCTACTTTTGATCACATTGGAGGTAGAACTTCAATAAAACATTCACTCAAAACCATTCATGAAAGTTCTTGGAAATTTGACTCTAAAATTCTATGTTTGGTATATTTATAGACTTCTGTTTCTGATATTACCATATTTTTAGCATATTTTGTCCGTACGGATGTCTTCTGGTTTTCCTCAAGCTATGTGGACAGAATTGTTGTAAAATTGTCTGTTATTAAAAGATAAAAAATAATGATCATATTGCACTCTGTACTTTATCGGCTGTCTCTGTGACATTGACTTTTCAAAAGTAACCTATTTGGTGGCAAAGATGATGTTAAATTGCCATTGACTTTCATTTTCTGCTTAGGATGGTCTGGTTTAATATAGATTGTGTTTCTTTTTACAGGGGGGTTGAGAGCCATTCTAACAGATCAAAATAAGCTGATTGTCGTTGTTGGAGGAATAACAGCTCTTGCAGGTGGCATTTACACTACTAGGTGAGATGCAAATTTCTAATTAAAAATTCAAAGATTCTGAATCTTGCTTTTGTCTAAGTCTATTGGAACCTAACTACTAATCTCTTTGATGCTTTAGGATGGCCCTGGCTTTCTGTTAGTATAGGTTTAAAGAGCTCTTCTTGATATTGCTTTGGTTCTGTTTTGAGCCTTATGATGTTACCATTTGCTTTGCCTGAAGTCCGTGCAAAGCGCCAAAAAAGTAAAATATAAAAAAAGACGTCTCTGTGAGACATTTTTGTGCAGCTTCTGTGTATTGGAATATTGGCATGACTGGAGTTGGATGATAGCTGGCTTGTTTCCATGTTCTTGGATTTGAATTGAATCATTATGCTTTATTGGTGGTTGTTTTGCTTTTTGCATTTTGAGAAATACTACACACTTCACTATTTACTCATTAGGCACTAATGCTAGTGGCCAATGGATAAAATGCTTGAGGCTTCTTTAGTAAGGTGAGCACCATTTTTTGCCTTGGGGATACTGCTAACTAAATAGTACAGTAGTCTGTTAAACTTGTTTAAATTTGAATTTTATTGATACTCCCCCACTAGTTAAGAGTCATTAAAGGGTCAATGATTGATATGATTTACTTAAGACTAAGAGGGCTATTTTTAGCTTTAGAATGTCCAATCTTTTTGGAATTTAAAAAAGGATGAAGGCCAGAGATTAGGGTGTAACGAGATAAGAAGTCTCCATTTGGAAATGCTAGGTGAACACAAATGGCTGAAAAAAAAAGCCATGTAAGATTTTGTGGAAGTAGATGTGATGACTGTTTTTACACAGTGACCCCAGTGAGTTGGTAGGCAACCACTCTTTTGAAGCCACATGATCTTGTGGGGAAAATTTTGTGGCCTTAGCACTGCCTGTCTCCATTAGACTTGTTATCATTTTTTTCTTCTGCTTATTTTCTTCTTCCTTTCTCTTTTTTTCCACTTTCTTTCTGCTGTGATTCAAGTGAAGAAAACAGAATGGTAATGCTATGCTAACAAAAATCTCTGACAGATCTTCATCACAAAACCACATTGTAAACATGTGATTGGCTATTTTCCAAACACATCATTGAAAATTATAGCCATCACTTACTGCACAATAGCTTTGTGAGAGTTTTATGCTTATGGGATTACTGAAAACAAAACTCATTTTCACCTCTTTCACTGTTGAAAAAGAGAGAACATGTTACTCTGTTTATATTATCTAAAAGGGAGTACACCTTTTTTCTTTTCAATACATTGCTAGAACATTTTGACGTCATTCTTTTCCTTCTTAAATTCTGATAAAGATTAATGACATAGAGTATTAGTGCCAATGAAAGATGTGATTTAAATAAAGTTCTGTCCTTTATCCACATTCTCTTTTTTCCATTGCACTCTGCCTTTTTTACTGTTACTTTGTTTCTGTTAACAAGATGTTTCTCTTATCTCTTGTAGAGAAGGTGCTAGGGTGATTTGGAGTTATGTTGATAGAATATTGGGACAACCATCCTTGATTAGAGAATCTTCCAGAGGGAAGTACCCTTGGTCTGGCTTCTTTTCTCGTACCAAGAGCTTTCTATCAAGGGGTGGTCATGAAGGTTCATCTTTGACAAATGGAAATGGGTTTGGTGATGTGATTTTGCACCCTTCTCTTCAACAACGAATTAAACAGTTAGCTAGTGCAACTGCTAATACAAAAGCCCATCAAGCACCATTCCGGAACATGCTGTTCTATGGTCCTCCAGGCACAGGGAAAACCATGGCTGCTAGAGAGCTGGCTCATAAATCTGTACGAGCTCTTACTCCTATCATTATTCTATGCTATTATGTTACTGTAATCAGATGGTATCTGTTTGAAGACGTCTCTCTGTTTTCTGGTTTGTAGGCTAGCTCTTAAATTTTTTCATGGGAGTTTTTTCGGCCAACTTTTATTGGAATGTTAAATCTTTATTTATAGCAACTTAGTAGATCTGAATTTTTGAAAGTCATTGTTAGGTTATGACTAATCATGACACATGAGCAATTCATGAAGGAATGTAAATTAGAGTAATGTTTATCTGATACTATATTGGATAGCTGTTAGTTCTAGTGTTTTTGTATGATTATAACAGAGTTCATTAAAATTTTGTGAATTATGTTGCTCTTTCTCTCCCTTAATTTTCTCCATTTTTTGGATTAATTTTCAGGGGTTAGATTATGCCTTGATGACAGGTGGAGATATTGCTCCACTGGGACCACAAGCTGTTACCAAGATACACCAATTATTTGACTGGGCTAAGAAGTCCAAGAGGGGCTTATTATTGTTCATTGATGAAGCAGATGCATTTTTATGCGAGTAAGTTGTAAATGTTTCAGTCAAAACTGCACAATCAGTGTGTTTTTATTCTCTGAGGAACGGGATTTTGAAAGATCAAGGATCACAGCCTTAAATTAACTAGTTGATAGTATGGTTGTAGAGTCTGATGATATTTTTAACCATGGTTCAAAAGGGATGAATTGTTGACTGGAGACTGGCAAGCGTTTTACTCCTAAATCAAGTGTAGGTTTGGTGCTAGGTGTATGTTTATAATTATTGCTATTGGAATGCATATTAAATAGGATAAAAGAAACTAAAAAGGAGCAAAAGAGCATACATATATGAGCATGTACACATATATTTATTTTTTCCTTTTTGGTTCTGGAAAATCATAGGTAACATGAATTGCTAATATTTTCCTGAGATGAGAAAAAAATTTAGAGATAAATTGGATACTCTGCTTTTCCAGAAAACAAGCCCTCGTGAAAGAAGTTGTTTTCTGTAAAATGGTATCCTCTAAGTATTTACTTCTTATATATGCATTAATTAGTTATCTTAGCTATAATACCAAACAGAGGGTGTTTATCCATTTTGTCAAGGGGTTGTGTTAATATGAAATCATTTAATTTTTTTATTATTTATGTGGTTAAACACTGATTTGATATGAAGTTTTTAATTTTCTGATGAGGTGCCAGTTGTTATCTATTTCATTGAGGTATTGTGTCAAGGGAAATTACTTTATTGCTTTTTAAATGGATGAACTCTTAGTTCTGCATTTTAATTGGTATTGAAAAGTGGAATCAACCATAATTTTTTCAAGTCATGTAAGCATCATCTTGAAGATGGAAGCATCTCTAACTCTTTCTTCATCATGGAAATTAGTTGGAGAACTGAATATGTTGTAACTTTGCAGGCGAAACAAAACCTACATGAGTGAAGCTCAGCGAAGTGCACTCAATGCACTGCTTTTCCGGACAGGTGACCAGTCCAAGGACATAGTGCTTGCACTCGCCACAAACCGCCCTGGTGATCTTGATTCAGCTGTGGCAGACCGCATTGATGAAGTCTTGGAATTCCCACTGCCAGGGGAAGATGAACGCTTCAAACTGCTAAAACTCTATCTGGACAAGTATATAGCTCAGGCAGGATCAAGAAAATCTGGATTGCTCCAAAATTTGTTTAAAAGGCAACCACAGAAGATTGAGATCAAAGGGCTTACAGATGATATATTAAGGGAAGCAGCAGCAAAAAGTGAAGGATTTTCTGGAAGAGAAATAGCTAAACTAATGGCTGCTGTTCAAGCAGCTGTTTATGGGAGTGAGAAATGTGTGCTAGATCCAAACCTGTTCAGAGAAGTAGTCGATTACAAGGTTGCAGAGCATCAACAGAGAAGAAAACTGGCAGCTGTAGATGGCAATCGTGCTTGATTTTACCTTTTGTTGTTTCTGGAACAAATGTTAGCTTAGCTGATTGAAAGGCCCAATTTTTAAGTTTTGGGCATAACGTTATCGTTGTCTCCCCCGTTTATATTTGGGAGAATTTTGGGGGGTTAAATATTGATGCTTTTAGTTTATTGGTAGCCATTTTTCTTTCAATTTGTTCCTGCAATCCACCATGTTATTCTCTGTACCATTGCCCTGCATTTTGGTTGGGAATTTGAATTTGAGAATCAAAATTAAATAAATATCATATACAGAAACCTCTGGCAGATTTAGCATATGTGTATTTTTTTCTTTTTTTGGGTACGAACTACAAATCCTAGTGGTAACCACTAGGATCTAAAGGCCCTTGGCATATCCTTGTCTGAAATAATGGAGAATCCCCGATGGAAGGTATTCAGACGAGATGTGTGCCGTGAAGTACATCGCCAGTCCTTCGCTTTCAGATCCTTGCATTTCATAATACAAGTAGGCCAAGTTTTTATGAAGAATATAATTACCATTTTGGAATTAATTTTACTCTAATGCCATAAATGAGATAACACTTTTTTAGCATGTGAATTGTATTTAGTAAACAATTCATGATTCGAAGATAATCATTATATGGAAAAAGGAAAAATCAAGACCATAATATTTAATTATAATTATTAAATATATAAAATATAATATAAACTTTAACTTTATTAAATTTATTACATGATTATTATTTATTATACGTTCTAATTTTTTTTCGTTTTCCATCCTAATACCATCTAGTAACACTGAATTTCGCTACAAACATCGATAAACTGAAGGAATGTTTCCAAACAAGTACAGCTCAGCTCAAGATGAAATGCCAAGCGCTCCACATAATAGAAAGCCCAAATTACAATACATGAAATTTTGGAACACCAAGCATGGAATAGATCTAGTTCAGAAGTGTGACGATAAATCTTATTATTTTAAAATGAAAAAACATCAAACTACCGTCAGTACATGGATTCCATGATAAAGGCCAGAAGTTGATAACTGAAGGATCATAATTACTCCAATGCTTTGCCATGGTCCAATGAGACATCAACAAACTCCTAGTGATGATGTTCCTGAACATAGCGCAGGCCACAATACTTGCATACAGCTGGCTCCTTCAAATCAAGGCATATAAACTCAATAGGGTGTCCAAGTGCTGGGTTGCTGTCTGTAAACAGAAACAGCAAAAATTAAGTAATGTCAAATTGTGGGAATTAAAGAGAATAAATACAACAAATAGACTACATCCCTGTATTCATTTATTTATTATGCAGAAAAGTTAGCTGTTGACTTAGCAAATGATTTATGAGCTGATTAGCATGTTAACATATGAAGAAGCAAATTATTAAGAACTAACCTCCTTCACAAGCAACAACCCTTCCTTCAACCTTGATAGGAGGAACTTCATTGATCAACTCCATTGGAGATTTTTTGCTTGTATCCTACAAAATGTAAACTTTAAAAACTCCAAAATGGTTGATTTTAAGCATTTCTTTTTCTTTCAAATGTACCAAGCATTCCAACACAGAATGTTTTGTTTTTCTTTCTCTATTTCTTCATTTTTTTTACAAAAAAAATAATAACAATTTAAGGGACCCAGGGGGGAGTGGGGCAAATCATTCGGCCTTGATACAGTAAACAAGAAAGTCAATAGAAGGTGGAGCACAGATGAAGAAACAAGACGAAAATGTTAATCAAAACAGTAATTGACTAATTACTTCTTTTTAGATGAAACTATATAGGCACAATTTGGAACCAAGAAGAAGAAGAGAATCAAGTAAGCTTCTTAAAGCAATTCTTTTATGGATCATTGAACAAATGTTATCTAGATTTTGAAAGGAAAATCATAAACTATGGAAGAATCATCAAAATCAAAATCTAAATAGGCATGGAAAACAAAAGAAACTTTAAACTCAACCTGATTCCCAAAATTTAGAAATTAGAATACATTCTTCCAAGAACTAGAAACATTAGACCTATTCACGGTATCCCATTACTTGTACTTAACATTAGAGCAGTATAACGTCCACATCTCCTAAAATCCAGTGTTGTGTGGAGTGAGGAACATAAAAAAGTATGGAATGATCCAAGAAATGAAGCATGAGTAATGGATCTGAAGATCAACTAATTATAATGAAGAGTGAGGGACAATGAAGTGCTGTATGAAATTTCACAACACAACCATCTTTTATGGTTCGCAGTGAATCAAAAAAGGGGTAGGACGAGAAAATTTTAAGAAGAAAAAAAAACCTGAAAATCATGAAGCCTTGCCAAATTAATTTCTGTCAATTTTAAAAAGAAAAGAAAAAAAATGAATGACCAAAGAAACAAAACAAATGATTAAGTTAGTCTCATTGAAGCTTTTATAGAACAGAAAACAACAGATAGATTAAAAGTTTTATGCAGGGTGAATGCCTAAAAACCCAGACCTGAAATTCTATAAAGAAAATAGATATAACATAAAAATATAGGAGCAGCCATGCAACCAGTCTCCCCGATAATAGTTCGCCTAAAGAAACCTCTAATTTCTACCCATTTCAATACAGATTAAAACAAAATATGGGAAACAATAAATAAATCAAATCATTATAGGGTATCGTAAGAGCTTAACAAAATGATAATATTGGTTGTTGGATTGAGAAGAAATGATAGATATGGGTCGGTACCTGCATCCATTTGGCAGTGTGATTGCTGATTTGGCTTGTAACCAGGCTGAAATTTCTAGCTATGAAAGGAGAATTGGATGATCTGGTTAGGGTTTTCAGTTTCAAGAGAGCCGTCGCCATTTTCTTTTATTCTTTTGCCAGCGACAAATTCAGGGGGAAAGGCGAGCCGCAGACGGTTGTTGGAACTTCAACCTTTTCGATCCGACTTACCCTCGTCCGTCTGCTGGGCCGGGCCCTTGACAGAGGTAGTGGACCACAGAACTTAAACATGATTTTTTAAAGATTAAAAAACTGTAATAATTATATTTTTATATCATTCATTTGTATATTGAAATAAAAATTAATCTTTAATTAATTAATTATGAGTAATCAATTAAAAATAATCTATGTGACATTAATACTGAAATTAAGAATAGTTATTATATTTTTAAATACAAATTAATAACATGTTTGATTTGAAAAAATAAAGAGAAAATGGGAAGGGAGAGGGAAAGTAATTTTATTTTAATCAATTAAATTAAATTGTTAGTTCAATAAAATAATTTAACTAGTTATAATAATTTTTCACATTTTTTTTCTCAAACTAAACATATTATAATAATTAATGGGTTAATGGTGACTCACTGATATACTGTCGACTCTAATCTTATTATCTAAAATAATAAATAAGGAAAAATCAAAGATAAATCCTAATAAGTATGATAATAATTTATTTTATTTATGAGAAAGCATGCAAAGTAATAGATTCTTAAAAATGTAAGTAGAACTAAATCAAAATGTCATGTGTAGAAAATTAGGAAGTAGCCTCCTCTAATGTCATGGCCATGGTTTAATATCTCCATCGGTGAGCGTGAAAATTATTAATGTTTATACTCTCATTGGGAGGTGTTTACACCATAAATTGTTTTTTTTTTTTTTTAGTAATGCCACATGTCAATGGATAAGATGCGATCAAATCTACTAAAGGGATGCATATATGTAAAGTTGGTTGGGAGGATAAAAGTTATCTGGCTTGTTGCAATTTGAATTTAAAAGAAATAACAATCCCTAAATTTTAGGAGAAAGTTATTATCTATGATCTGAACAACCAGCGAGTGAAGCAGGGACGTAGTTCTCAAGAAACATATAAATAGAAGCTTTCTGAATTTTTTCAAGACACGGCCAGTCCTATACAGAAACTCATCAATTTTTCAATTCTTTAAGTTTCGTAATGATTGCTCATCTTAGCTTTCATATTTCAGTTTTAACACAGATCCCAGTGGATTTAAGTTGTTTTCAGCATTCAAGTACCCAAATTAGTTTGTGTAATTGCTTCTCTAATTTCCTTTCATGCAATAAACATCAAGTTTATTTTAATTCACATCTCATTCAGTTCATTTTGGATCAATTAACTTAAATTCACGGTAGTGGTAAAGTCCTTGAGATTGTCCAAGGCAGATTAGCAACCCATTCTGCAGGAAGGCATCCTTCCCTCTTGCAAATCATTTGAAGGGCGCAAAACTCAATCTTAAACCAACGTTCTTCCAGCCATCTTAACGGAGGTGGACCGTGTGGAAGGAGAGGGTCATTGGGAGAATCCTTTTTTTTCTTACTTTTTAGAAAAGTAAGTGGCACACCTACATCTAAATTCCGTAGATGTGAAGCCACTTGAGGATTTTTGAGGAAACAATTCTTTTGTGGCACGTCTAGTGGAACCCTACCATGTCTCACCCACAGTTTTTAGATCCATTTTTTCTGCATCCAAAAAGAGGTGTTGCTATGCCACCACAAGCTGAACATGCAGATGACAATCGACTCTACTATGAGGGTGAAAAGGATCCAATTACTTTTCTCCCAGTGTCACCTTTGGCAGAACAGTCCTATGGGAATCCAATATTCAAGGAGAAAGAAGCAGATCATGGAGGTGCCTTTGCTGAATCAAATAATGTGATAAAAAATTTGACAGAACGTCTAGAGTTAGCATGCAGAAAGCAGAACCAGGCTATACAGAAACTCCTCGAGAGTTAAGCTGAATCTTCCAAACGTCAAGAAGAAGCAATAAGATCGTATATGGTTGAATTGAGATGGGTCTTTGAGAAAGGCACTAAAGTAAAGAGAGAAACTAAGGATGAAAGCCGTAGAACATTACAGGCTATTTGAGATCAAGTGGTTGAACAGGTGCATTAGCCTAGATCAGAAATACCATTTCCATCCCAGGTAGTGGATTCTCATAAGCAAATCCAAAATCCACCGGCTCCAGTGCTTGGGGGGCAAGTCAATCAGCCACATCTGCCTCCACAAAACCAACCGGCAGTTGGTGGGCCAGTACAGCTAGAACCAATAAAGGTTGCACCATGTGTGACGGATTTGGGAAATCAACAACATCTGCAAGAAAATATCGACAGAGGAATTTTGCAGTTTCCAAAAAAGGCTAAGCAAACCATGGGAGTTGATGCAAACCCATTCCCTGACTTGTCTGTTGGAGTGAACGTGGCAGATCTCGGAAGCCTTAACAAGGACAAAAATCGGTCATACTCCAAGCGCAAACTTACAGCTAATGACTTGAGATGGGTCATTAAGGAAGCCAAAACTCGCAAAGATCAAGCCAGATCAGATCCTCCACGAGGAAGAACGCACGAGGGGCATGATCCAAAGCAGCAGAAAACTGGTCCAAGTCAGAGTGCTATGAAATTTGGCTATGAAGGGTGATCTAGAATGGTGAAACCACCGCTCAAATCTCTTATCCAGAAATGGGAGCAAGTAAGTCATCCAAAGTTCCCTAAGGCTTAGAATCCAAGAACTTTGAGGCGACGCTTACAATGTAAGGGAGCAGAAGAATGACGCTAACAACAGATGGAAAAGTCGGGGGGCATGGTAGATCTAGCTCAGCGGCTCCCAGTCAAAATGAAATCTATTTGGGTTCCGAAAGACAAAAATAAGGGATCAAGTCATACCTCACTAGAAGATGAAAAACAACCCAGAAGTCCAACTTCTCCGCAAGTTCTGATTGTGCAGACAAGTGAGGAAACTAGCCTGAAAGCAACGTTCGAGGTGGCAAAAGAAATGGAAAATTCAACAAAGCTAGAAACCATCCAATTTGGTGAGTTTTCTGTGAATTTGTCTTATTTGGTGCTTACCCTTCCTCTGGTCTTCCAAGCCAAAGGAAAACCAGAATCTACAGATTATCAATAGGCAGATCAAACTGAGAAAGGAATTATTGAGATCCTTGTAAAGGAGGATGAAAATGAGATTTCAACAGACAATTATTTTTGAAAAGCCAGAAGAGAGGATGGCCAAACATATAAGGTCATTATACATTCACGCTCACATGGATGGGATGCCAGTTAATCGAGTTCTAGTGGACAATGGTGCTACTATCAACATGTTGCCAACTTGTATGTTACACAAAATTGGCAAATCTTTGAAAGATCTAATGGAGACAGAAGTGACGATCAACGACTTCACTAGAGGAGTAAATCGTTCAAGGGGAATTTTGCCAATGGAGCTTACTATGGAAAACAGACTCTCATGTGTGCATTCTTTGTGATTGACACTATAGTCACTTATAATGCATAACTTGGGAGAGACTGGATCCATTCTAGCTAGTGTGTTCCTTCAACTTTGCACCAGAAATTGATATTCTGGAATGGTGGCAAAACTGAGGTCATGAAAGCTGATGATGACAAACCTTTTGTGGCTAACACCAATTCGATGGAAGCTCGTTATTATGAAGAAATTGGGACCATCCATTTCTTTGGGATGGACCGTAATGGCTGACTAGTTGGAATTATTGCTAGTACCAGATCAGCACTCACTAGACGCACAGTAAAAGAGGTTTTTGATGAACTCCTTCGGCCCACAACAATTGTTTGTTTAGGCCGAAGGAGGAGCCAGAAATTGAAGAAATTCTATGAAGACAACGAATCAATCGCCAAAAGAAGGAGGTCGTGGAAGAAATTAAAAGGAAATTAACGGCCTATCTTACAGAAAAACGGATCAATGTAGATAGATATGAGGTGGTCCACGAAGGTGAACAAGAAAATCTGACTGACGTAGTTACTCTGGAGGAGTTAGATCTGGTTCAAGCTAAACTTGACAATTTGAAAGAAGTACCAAATCCGCTGGATGAGGTAAATCTAGATATTTCGAATTCTAGCTGAGTCAGATTTGGGTGAAATTGCATAGTATTTTCTTTTTCCAATTTAGCATTTTTGAATTTCAATAAAGGTGCTAATCTGAATTTGAAAGCTGGTTAGATTTGGCCGTGAGCAATCATAGCGATTAAATTAAGGCTGTGTCAGATTTCAATCTGCTCTAGATCAAGTATGCAATAAAGGCAATGAAAGAGGAAAGCTAATCTTTAATTTTGGAAACCACATTCAAGTTTGCCTTTATATCTGCAAGAAATTTGCTACACTATTCTGCCAAGCTCTTTTCTGTCTCTTCTTCAAGGAGAATCTATTTGTTTAGTTTTACAAGCTTGGCTTCAAGGTTTGAGATCTCTTCTTTCAGACCTTAGAGTTGTTTGACATGTGGCATTGGTGGCTGGAGTCTGCATATAATTATTTAATTATAAACACTTGAATTTATTTTCATAAAAAATAAATTCAAGTGTTGGGGGGCATTGTTTACACCATAAAATGCATTTTTTTTTTTTAGTAATGACACATGTTAATGGATAAGGTGAGATCAAACCTACTGAAAGGATGCATGTATAAATAGAACCTTTTTGAATTTTTTCAAGACACGGCCAGCCCAACATAGAAACTCATCAATTTTTCAATTCTTTAGTTTTGTAGTGATTGCTCATCTTAGCTTTCATATTTCAGTTTTAGCACAGATCCCAATAGATTTAAGTTGTTTTCAGCATTCAAGTACTCAAATTAGTTTGTGTAATTGCTTCTCTAATTTCCTTTCATGCAATAAACATCAAGTTTATTTTAATTCGCATCTCATTCAGTTCATTTTGGATTTATTAACTTAAATTCACGATAGTGGTAAAGTTCTTGAAATTGTTTAAGGCAGATTAGCGACCCATTCTGTAGGAAGGCATCCCTCCCTCTTATAAATCATCTAAAGGGCGCAAAACTCAGTCTTAAACCAACGTTCTTCCAATCATCTTGACGGAGGTCGACCGCGTGGAAGGAAATGATCGTTGGGAGAATCCTTTTTTTTCTTACTTTTTAGAAATGTAAGTGGCGTGTCTGCATCTAAGTTCTACATGTATGAAACCACTTGAGGATTTTTGAGGAGATGAGGATATAGAAATAATAGAAATAAATGGATTCACAAATGGCATCTCAACATGGCTAACATATAGAAATCTCCCACCGGTGGTTACAAAATAACGACCATATATTGAAAATAAATCATGCAAGAAGTATAAAGCTTATTTCTTCAAAACCACATATTTATCTTAAGACAAGTAGGATGGCATTCCTAGCAAGTGATCATGTATAAAAAAAGTATATTTATTTTTTAGAAAATACAATACTAAATATTAAAAAATACTCATGTTATATTAATTACATAAAATTATTTTAAAATAATTTAAAATTATACTTTAAAACTAAAAATAAAATTATAAATTTACTTACCTCAAATTAGAAGGGCAGATACCTACAACGTAAAATCCTAAATCAGGACGAGTAACCCTAATCTCAATTTAATTAATTAATATTTTATTTAACCTAGAAGAGTGTTTACCATTTTTTTTTCGTGGCCCATCAGGTGTCAACACCGGATACGTTACCCGATTCATGGTATTGGCACCCTGTGCCATAATAGTTCACGGGATGCATTGCACCCTCCCTTTATTTAGACCTTTTCTTTTCATTTTATTTTATTTCTATTCCCAACCCCATCGCTGCCAACAGGATTTTGGCTTTCATTCCATTATTATTATTATTGTTTTGGAGATTCGTAAGGGTTGAAAGCAGTAAGAAGTCGCAAGGAATGAACAGTGCTTATCCGGGAATTACCAACCCCAAAACAATACTCCAAAGACAAAATCAAGGTTGTAAATAGAGTTAAAGAGGATAATTTGATCGATTTTAATTGCTGTTATAGCATGATATCGATAAAAGGAGAAATTCGAAGAACCCTATGAAGACATGAGAAGACTTTCCAATTTGACAGAAAAAGAACTAGAGTTGAGGAGAGGTGAGATTTGCTAGTTTCAAGAGGAAGAAATGAGACATCCAGTAAAGAAGATTTACACTTAAATTTGTAATTGTCACCCTATAAGTTGTGTAAGTGTTATACTTTAAATTTTGTAACCGTGTACATCTCTCTCTCTATATATAAAAGTACTAGGTTAGTACTTGGATCTATTAACATTAATAATTTCAAGAACTTTATTATTATTATTTTTATATTTAGTTTGGATTGAGGGTTTGTACCTTATATAAATAGTCTTGTTAGGACATTAAGATGAATTGAGATAATTTTTCCAACCCTAATTTCCCTACTTCTCTTCATCCCTTGCTTTCTATTTTTCTCTGATTCTACATCAGTATCCCTTGACATATTGTGGGTTTGCTCTGCTTCTTCATATTTGAAACTTCCTGTATATGCCTGGACAAGGTAAAGATAGAGGAATCAGGTGAGCAAGTATCTCTCTGCATAGCATGGAAAAGGATCTCAACTTCAGCCTAAGGCCCAGAAGATGCAAAAAATATTGATCAAAATTTTGTTGCTCACCTGCATTTCGAAAAAGCAAGGATAAAAACTCAGTATCAATAGATCTATAGTGCTTTTTAAACAAATTTTATTAAAATTGATAGTTTTAACAATCATAAATTGCTAACAACCTAGATAACTCAATGATAATCTCTTTCGTTTGTTAGAAATAATAAATTTTAAATTCGAATTGTATGACATGTAAGTGACTGAAAAAAAGGATAAGAAAGAGTTGTCTTTTATTGTGCAACTAAAATTAAAAAAATAAATAAAAAACAAACTAATAAAACCTTTTAAAGTTTCGAAGATCTGTCTATCCAACTTGGGGATCTAAAATGGAGAACTATCGTAATCATATGCAATGTCATTTCCTTCAACCATTTGAGATTAAAATCCATCTTTCGAATAAACTGACTAAAAACATAA